CTCTCTCTCACACACACACACACACACTCACACACACACACACACACACTCACATACATACACCCTGGGCTGAGCTCTCCTTGCTGGCTGCAGCCGTGGGCCCCTGCTCACCGTGCCGCTGCCGCTGCCTGCGAAATGACGGCGGTTCCCCTCACTTCCAGGAATCCACGCTTCCTGGAAGGTGAGTGGCTGGGCTCACCCCTGCCTGCCACCGAGACGCAGACATGCACACACCGCCCGCACTCCCTCGCCGTTTCCAAGGCGGCGGCCGCGTTCGCACCCCAGGGTCTCACCGGCAAGGGAAGGATAATGTAAGTTCAGGCAGAAGGTGGTTAGTGGAGGGGGGCAGGGGGGTGCTGGGGCTAGGGAGCAAATTCAGTAACAACTCCCGAGACTGAGGAGAGGGAGAGGATGGGGGCTNCTCACACACACACACACACACTCACACACACACACACACACACTCACATACATACACCCTGGGCTGAGCTCTCCTTGCTGGCTGCAGCCGTGGGCCCCTGCTCACCGTGCCGCTGCCGCTGCCTGCGAAATGACGGCGGTTCCCCTCACTTCCAGGAATCCACGCTTCCTGGAAGGTGAGTGGCTGGGCTCACCCCTGCCTGCCACCGAGACGCAGACATGCACACACCGCCCGCACTCCCTCGCCGTTTCCAAGGCGGCGGCCGCGTTCGCACCCCAGGGTCTCACCGGCAAGGGAAGGATAATGTAAGTTCAGGCAGAAGGTGGTTAGTGGAGGGGGGCAGGGGGGTGCTGGGGCTAGGGAGCAAATTCAGTAACAACTCCCGAGACTGAGGAGAGGGAGAGGATGGGGGCTGTGTGTGTGTGCGTGTGTGTGCGTGTGTGTGTGCGTGTGTGTGTGTGTGTGTGTGGCGGGGGAGGGGGCGTTCCTCCTTACACTTGCGGAGGATGGGAAAGGGTGTTTGGTGTTGCTAAGCAAAGGCTGCGACTTGGACAGTGGGAGCTTGTGGTGACATCTTGATTAGGCCTTGGGGACAGATGTAGAGCTGTCCGGGTGAAATGCCGAGACAGGCCAGGGTGGGAATGGATAATAGAGGGGATGGAGGTAAAGAGGAGCCTTGGCAGCAGATGCCTCAGCCCAGAACAGAGATCTGAGGAGCCTCGGCTTCCTCCCCACAATAGAGCTGTTGATGGGAGCCTTTCTTTGCTCTGTACCCACTATTCCTTGCTGGCCAGCTAGCATCCTGGCACCCTGGAGCCCCTGGTCAGGAAAGGGAGAGCAGTTAGGATGAGGTCCCTTGCAGAGAAGTGTGGAGGTTCTCCAGCCTCATGGCTGTTCCCTAGAGGTAGCTACTCTTTGAGGGTCTCAGGGAGGGCAGCAGGAGCAGGTGGGCTAGACTCCTTCAGCATGTGAAACACATTTAGCTTGTGGGATGTTGCCCTGGTCCCTGTCTCTCCCTCTTGCTTTTCTGCCCGGTACTCACCTCCTAGTTCCTCATGATATGAATCTCATGATTTGACTTTGCCCTCTAAGGGCTCAGGCAATCTATGATGACTTTAACTAAGAAAATTTCTATGGGACCTGAGAGCAACCTTAATTCTTGGCTTTGACATTCTGGGATTTCTTGGGAGTCCCAAGCATTTGAAATTCCCTCACTGGGGTTTCTGAGGCTGAGAGAGGAACTGCTGAACTTCCTAAATCTGATTCTAGTCCCCTTCTCCCTTTCGCTGGAAATCACAATCCTTGGGGCCCCATAAAGATTTTCCAACCCCTGAAACAATTCATTTTTATGTATTAGCCCATAAAGGTAGACTTGAGCCTGTTTTCCCTCTTACCTTTATCCTGGGGAGGGCAGCAGCATCAAAGAGCCTCTTGAACTACTGGCATGATTCTGGAGGCACCTGCTCGCCCTTCTGTTCCCGGCCTTAATAGCGAAGGCACAAAGGAGGTTTTCCCCTTAATGTCTCTAACTACCCCTTTAAGGATATTTCCCCCCATATATCAAGCCCCTGGCCCCAAGAGACAGCCTCAACCTAGTAGGCTGGGACCAGCAATGGATTTCCAGCAAGCTCCTTATCCTTTTAGGGTCAAGGACTCAGTGCCAGAGCCCAAAGCTCTGTTCTTCCCCCATTACTAACATAAGTGTTTTAGGGCAAGTCAGCACTAATGATTGAAAAGGAATGAGAAGATACCCTTTCAGCCCTTCTAACCTTAGTTAACCCCACACGTAGTTGAAAGGACATATTTTAAAAGTGGGTCTGGGTCTACAAGTCTCAGTTCACATTCTGAGATGCTCACTTCATGATATGTGTGTGGTTCTGATTTGGGCAACTTTTGTAGATAACCATGGCTCATCTAAAGAGCCCCAGCTGGGGGAACTCAGTTTTAAGCCATAAGTCTTTTTCTATAGGTAGTAAACAAATTTCCTCAGACTTTGATGGGATAGAGTGCGGGAAATGGGACTTTTAGGAGAGGATATGAATGGGAAATGGTCCCAAAGTCCTGAGTGGTTGTTTTCTTCCCACTGACCAAAGCTGGAGAGGGATCCCTCAGGAGGGTGTGTTCCGGATTTCTTGCCTCAGGCCCAAGACTCCAACCATTTTATAATGGAATCTTTATTTTGTGAAAGTAAGTATGTGCATAGCTGGGAAATTGGGTAAAGTACTAATAGGTGGACTTTAGGGATGAATTTTAGGGTTTGTCTCTCTCTCTCTTTCTCTGTCTTCCATATTTAGGGCTGTCTGCACATATCCATGCATGTTCATGTTAGCAGGTAATGTAGAGGCTATGAGTATGTTTAACCCAGTAGGTATGTTCTCTGTATATGTATCTACATATGTGATATGTGTCTGTGTCTGTGTGTGTCTACATGTTTTATTTCACCTGTGTATTTGTATAGAAGATTGTGGGGAGGAGGGATTTTTTTTTTAAGACATTGATTTATATCTTCAGGTGTGATATCTGATTTTTTAAGACATATATGAAATTCTCAAAAAGCATTTTTACAAAGCCATTTGTCAACAAGTTAAAATGAATATATTGAAAATAAACTGATGATTTCACTTTCAAGGGAATACCAAGTAGTAAATATCTGATTGGAATCATATCGGATAGGATGCTAGAATAGTCAAATTTTTGCTAATTTTAGAAAGTCTAATGGACCCAACTCTCCCCTCCTGAAACAGTGTGTTGCAGTTGGCTGTGTAGGTGGTGGTTAAGAACATGGGCGCTTTTTGTGATCAGATCCCGGTGCCACCACTACCAGCTATGTGACCTTGGACAAGTAACATAGCCTCTTTTGTGCTTCAGTTTCCCCATCTGCAAAATTAGGGTAATACTGGTACCTACTTCATAAGGTTGTTGTAAAGATTAAGTGACATAATTCATTTAAGGTGTATTGAACAATGCCTGGTACATAGTAAGCACTCAATTAATGTTAGCTGCCATCGTTATGATTGCTATTATTATCATTAGATTCAGGGACAATTCCAGCTGCCCTTCCTGCAGATCCCGTACCTGGTGTTGGGGGCTCCGGAGAGGAACAATAGGGAAGAACGGCTGTCCTGAACCGCCTCCCTGCTGAGGCCCCCATTTTCCTCTCTACCCCGGCCCGCCCAGCCCCAGCCCTGCTTCCTGTGGACGTCAGGCAGTGATGCTCTTCCCCTCAGGCCTAGATAAAGGTAGGGTGGGCAAGGCCCAGCCACTGAGCTTGCAGAAGTCAGCACCGGGCACCCAGGCTGGCAAGGGCGCAAGGTATGGTGCCCAGCATACAATACTGCCTTGTACATGGCTAAAAGATAAATGTAACTGAATTTTGAAAAGATTAGGCAATTTACTAATGGCTACAGCTACAGCTTCACCTGCCCTCTTGTTCTCTCCTCTAAGGTAGCGGGGACTCATCTCTGGAGAAGGAGTTCCTTGGGGCCCCAGTGGGGCCCTCGGTGAGCACCCCCAACAGCCAGCACTCTTCTCCCAGCCGCTCACTCAGTGGTAAGTGCGCCCTCCTTCCCTCACCTGGCCTGAGGCATCCCCGTTTGTGTTTGGCCTTCCATTCATCTTCCATTGACAGCCACTTCCCTATCTCTGCCTCCCTCTGGTTTCCTGCTCAGAGTCCCTAAAATCACTAAGGAGCTCAGTGTCTAGGATTTTCCTGACTTTTGAAAGAAGAATGAACGGTCACTGCCAGACAAGGGTGGAAGTAAAAGAAGCATGGGTGGGATTAAGATAAAGACCCCAAAGAGAAAGTCTGGAGTTAGAGCAGCAGGTAGATAGAAATGGTCATGAGCTGGAGTTAGATAGGAGATATATTCATCACACACATACATACACACATATACAATTCTCCTGCCTAGACTGGGTCCCCATGACTGCCTCTCCTCAGCTGGCCCAAGATCTGTGACATTCTCCAAATGGTTGGAATAGCCAGGAATGTAGGTCAGAGCTAGAGCCAAAGCTTTCTCCTCCATGGCTCCTCCTTCTTCCATCCCCCTCTGGACTTTATGGAGGGGAGTAGAGGGGCTCAGTCTTATGGGGTGGGAGGATAATCTAAGCCATGTCTGTCTTCCAGTTTTGCTCTCTCTTTAGCCCTTTCTCTTTAGTCTTCCTAGGACTGTTTTCCTGCCACTGTTACTTGCTGGCTTCCTGCCCAGGGCCAAGTCAGACATCTTTCTTAATGACAAGAGAGTGGAGAAATAGGCTCCCCTTAGCTTCCTCCTCTCCCCAGCAACGCAAGACATCTATGGACCCACACTTCTTCCCCTTGAAGCCTATTTGTCTGATCAGTGAGATAGGAGGACAAGGTGGTTTCGGTTCCCAGCAGGACCCTGATACCACCACTCAGGACACCTAGGGTATTGGCCTCTTTTGAAGCCTGAATGCCTCAGGGCTTGGAGACTCCTTTTGGACTTCAGGAGTGCCATTCTGGCTTGGGGGAAGGCTCTCCCCTTTGCCCATCTCTCTCCTAAGCACCATCCCACCCTCCAGCCAACTCCATCAAGGTGGAGATGTACAGCGATGAGGAGTCGAGCAGACTGCTGGGGCCAGATGAGCGGCTCCTGGAAAAGGACGACAGTGTGATCGTGGAAGACTCGTTGTCAGAGCCCCTGGGCTACTGTGATGGAAGTGGGCCAGAGCCGCACTCCCCTGGCGGCATCCGGCTGCCCAATGGCAAGCTCAAATGTGACGTCTGTGGCATGGTCTGCATTGGACCCAACGTGCTCATGGTGCACAAACGCAGTCACACAGGTGGGTAAGCCGGGGGACCCGTGAGGAACTCCCGGGTAGCTGGGGAGGCAGAGGCAGTGCCAGGAGGCCATGCCTGGAGTGGGGTAGCCTCAGAAAGGGAAGGGTCTCTCCTGGCACATTTTCTAGCTGAGGGAAAAAAAAAGGAGGGGTTGGAATTTAGACTCCCTGAACACCTGTACTTCCCTGGCACTTTCCTCAGCTGTTATTATTTTTAAAAGCTGATATTTTTCTCCAGAAGTGAGGAAGGGGAAGGTGGTGTGGCCTCAAGGAGGATCCTAGCCCTAGCCAGTTTTGCTTAGTGGTTAGAGCGTCGGCCTGCCGACTGAAGTGTCCCGGGTTCAATTCCAGCCAAGGGCACATACTTCAGTTTCAGGTTTGCCCCATTAGGGCGCGTGTGGGAGGCAACTGATTGAGGTGTCTCTCTCACATATCTCTCTCTCTCTCCCCCTTCCACTCTCTCTGAAAAGCAATGGAAAAAATATCCTCAGGTGAGGATTAAAAAAAAAAAAAGAAGGACCCTAGCTCTGGCCACGTGGCTCAGCTAGTTGGAGTGTCACCGTCCCATTCACCAAAAGGTTTTGGGTTTGGTTCCTGATCAGGACACATACCTAGGTTGCAGGTTCGATTCCCTGTTGGGGAGTGCAACTGATCAATGTTTCTCTCTTTCTCTCCCTTCCTCTCTCTAAAATTAATTTTAAAAATATATTCTTGGATGCAGATTAAGAAGAAAAAAAAAAGAAGGATCCAGCAGGGGCAGGACTCATGGCTATTATCTAGGCCCTCCCAAGTCATGAATAAAAAAAGAGAAGAAAAAATATGGATTACAGAAGCCTCTTTACAGCCTCCTTGGGCTTTGGGCTCCTGGGGCAGAGAGAGCCCTATGGGGCTTGGGTTTTTTTGTTTGTTTGTTTGTTTAAATATATCTTTATTGATTTCAGAGAGAGGAAAGGAGAGGGAGAGAGAGTTGAAATATCAATGATGAGAGATTTGTCATTGATCGGCTGACTCCTGCAGGCCCCCGACTGGGGATCGAGCAGCAACCCAGGCATGTGCCCTGACCGGGAACTGTGATCTCCTGGATCCTAGGTTGATGCTCAACCCCTGAGCCACACCCAGTCGGGTGGGGCTTGGGTTTTGATAAGTCTTTTGTCCCAGTGTTCCAGGCCTAATGCCCTTCTCCCTGCCACACCCCCCTAATCCACACCTTCCCAGGATCAGACTGTTCCCCGGGGATCTGTATTAAGCAGGATTTGTATAAGTGGCACAGTCCTGCCTCCCAGAAATGTGTCTGAGCGCCTTCCCTGCGGCAGTGTGGGGCAGAGGGTGTGGGACTAGATTCAGCCTTCAGAGTTCCTCACAACCAGTCCTCTTGAATCTGTTCCTTCCCGTGCAGGTGAAAGGCCCTTCCACTGCAACCAGTGTGGCGCCTCCTTCACTCAGAAGGGGAACCTGCTGCGCCACATCAAGCTGCACTCTGGGGAGAAGCCCTTCAAATGTCCCTTCTGCAACTATGCCTGCCGCCGGCGTGATGCACTCACTGGCCACCTCCGAACACACTCGGGTTAGTAACCTTTCCTTCTAGTGGGAGAGGAGGAAGTAGGAGCCCAGTATACCTAATAAATAGAGTTCAGCTTGTCTTGTCTCTGGAGGGTTACAGTGTCTGTCACTGAGGAGGGCAGAGCATTCCCAGAGTGGATAGGGCCCTGCCTCTAACCCCTCTTCTGGGCAGCAGGACCCATGGAAAATCTGGGGGACTCTAATGAGGTATTTTACATCTGCCAACCTCTGTAACATGGAGTGAAAAGAGCACAGGTGATGTTCTTGGCTCTTAACAGTTACCCTACCCTCCCTGACTATTTTTAAAGTTTACACTGATGGCAGAGCCATCTGTGCCCCATAATGCCCCACTTCTGAGCACCAGGGTAACCCCTCTTTCCACTCTCATCTGCCCCAGGCCCCACACCTGTTACCATCTTTGCCCCACTTCCCCAACAACATCAGAGGTCTGTCCTTTTCTTGACTTCCTACTGGTTCCTGAAAATATCCATGGGTCTCCCAAACTGGAGGGAAGGAAGCCCAGAGAAAGATTGTCCTATTTCTGTTCCCCATACCAAGAGATCATCACCTTACCAGGAGCAGGAGCAAGAGCAAGTGCCTGGAGCCTAGTGTTTGGAACAGTTCTAGGAGTCTGGACTAACTCGATTTTCTAGCCCAGCCCAGACTGAATCAACATCTGCCTGAATCAGCAGGACAGATAACACTTTTGAAGCATTTTACAAAGTTTTAAGCTTTTGGCTCGGACTTGGGAAAAGGCCAGGAGCTGAGCTGGCAAGAAGGAGGGAGCTCAAGATTGGGAAAAGGAGGAAGGAGGGCAGAGGGCAAAGAATTAGTAGGGTCTGTCCTTGGAAACATTCCTTGCTACTTTTCTTTTTTCCTAAACTCTCATGGGCCAGGACTTAAAGAGGCAGAGCAATCACCTCACCACCCTCTACTTTTTTCAGCCACCTACCTTGCTCTAGGTTCTCTCCCCTTGGAGCTTTATCTCTGTGTATGTGGAGAAACAACAGGGGGAAAGATCATCATTGATTCATGCTTTATAATCTACAAAGCATTTTCCTTGTGTCTCCTTATGTGATCCTCATAACAATTCCAAGGTAGATGTTATTATCCTCATTTTGCTGACAAGGAAACTGAAGCTCTTGAAAAAGAAAAAAAGATTTGCCAGTCACACAGCTATTCTTTCTGCATCCTCAGTGGAACCCCATCAAGGCCCAGTGCCAGTCATGCCCCTTTTCCTGGGAAAAGAGGCGGCTCCCCGTACTGGTTTGGAACAAGGGTGGCTTAGCCCCCAGAATTCTTACCAACAGCAAGGCCGGGTGGGGGTGGATTTTGTGGGAGATTATTGGGGCCAGAAGAAGACACAGATAAACTGTTGGGTCCCATCTTTGTGAGATGCTTTCTATTACAACCCACACTATAAGAAAAAAGGGGCTCCTCTCAGATGTTAAACCATTTCCCCAAGAGTCTTGGGTCAATGGGGACCATGACTCTAATCTCATCCCCCAAATATAAGAGCCAGATGGCAGTAGATTGATTGAATCAATGTCCAGTTTAGGCACAGGATGGGAGGGGGATTCCTGGAGATACCTTCTCCTTTCCCCCTGCTCAGCAGTAGCAAGATACATAAATTAAAATATACAATACTTTGTTTTACTTTTTTCTCTCCTCTCACAAATATCATCTCTCAGAAGTTGTTTTTCGAGAAAATATCAATCTCAGTTTTCCCAACCTCTTCTCTTCACTAGAAACAAAGTCTTTATAACTGTTCTTAAAACAAAACAAAACCAAAAAAACCCTACAAAGTTGTTCTCTTCCCTTTATACTCTTCTCCATTGTTTTCCTCTCTGTCCTTTTATTCTTTTTCTCTTCTCAGAATCTATCAGTTGATGGTTTTTCTGGGGTTCTCTTCACGTCTCAGTGTAGAAAGACAAAGAATGATAAGCAGTAAAACTGGGCTAGGGGTGGAGGTAAAAAAGGACAAGTAAAGGTCATTGAAAACTGCCCCTCCCCATATCAGCAGATCTAAGGGCTCTTATTTCTGTCACCCCAGCCCACCAGTTTCCCCCAAACTAAAGCAGATAGTTCGTAAGCAAAAAAATCCCCTTGTCTGGTAAACAACTCTGACACCCGCCTGCCACATGGAAAGGTTAAACCACAGTGTGGGCCTCAGAGTCTGAGATCCTGGGGTGGGGCCAGCCTGCCTGCCAGGGATGATCCCCTACAAAGTCCCTGGTCCTTCTTTCCTTTGAGCAGCAATTTGGCCATCTTGAATCCCACCAGCAGTCCAGCACTATATGCCCTGGATCCCCTCTCTCCTCCCATAACTGTCCACTGTCCCTCTTTTCCAAGGTTTGGTCATCTGTCCATCTCGCAGCTGAAGTAGGGGAGGGGAAGGCGAGCAGAATTCAATGGAGCAACATGCCTTCATCCTCGTGCCAGTGTAGAGCCAGGGCACTGGGAGAAGTAACTTTGATACTATTTCTTTCCTTTCTCCTCCACAGTCTCCTCTCCCACGGTGGGCAAGCCCTACAAGTGTAACTACTGTGGCCGCAGCTACAAACAGCAGAGTACCCTGGAGGAGCACAAGGAGCGGTGCCACAACTACCTGCAGAGTCTCAGCACTGAAGCCCAAGCTCTGGCTGGCCAACCAGGTGGGCTGTAGGCAGGACTATGGGGGAGTTGAGGGCAGGGCCAGAGGGAGTACAGGACAAGGGTGATTCCAGCACTTCCCTGCACAAAGGGGAGAGGTCCATGGAAAAGGGACAGTTACCTCAGTAACTCTGCCGGGCACCCCAGTTAGTGCAGAGCCCCCTGGTAGGTGCTGCAGGGAGACCCAGAGGTAGGGGAGGATTTGATCTAAGCCCTTAGCCTAGCGGGAGAGAGAGAACACAGGAAGTATAAAGTTGAGGTTCAGATCTATATAATTCTCCCCAAATTATCTGACATGTTGCTAGCATGAACTTTAAGTAGGGCGAAGTAAGCAGGACCTCATTTCCCAAGCATCGGGTATGACCTTCCTTGGCTCCTGACCTGCGGGTTTTCTCCAGGTGAAGGCTGCTGGGCCAGTGCTACCCCTACTCAGCTGCTGCTACCTGTCCCCACCTCCCCCCACTAGGTGATGAGATACGTGACCTGGAGATGGTGCCAGACTCTGTGCTGCACTCATCCTCTGAGAGGCCCACTTTCATTGATCGTCTGGCCAACAGCCTCACCAAACGCAAGCGTTCTACCCCCCAGAAGTTTGTAGGTAAGAGTCCAGTTGTAGAGAAGACGTCAGCTTTAAGCTCCAGTTCATCTCTGTGTGAGCTCTGGTAGCCATTAGACCAGTTGGGTCTGGAGATTTGATTGAAGGAAAGAAAGTGGTCTGGTCCTCAAAATCTATCCCCAGAACAGGAGCAGAGTGAAGAGGGAGAAAGTACCTCCGGAGGGTGGAGGGGGGTCAGTGTTGAGGGTTCATGTGGTGGTTCTAAGAAGAGGTTGTCAAGGCGCTCTGGCTCTCCCAGTTTTTGAGAATAGCAAGGACTTCATTCTGTGGGGGCTGAGATAAGGGCCCTTAGAGTCAAAGGGAGGAGGTAAATATGGGGACCCCCACCTGGCTCTGGTCATTAGCTCTCTGAGGACCTGGAGCTTTACAGAGAATAATGAAAGAGTAGTCAAGATCATGGCCTAGGACTGAGTCCTCCTCTTAAGATTACAGCCTAGAGTTGGGGAACGGCCCTACAAAGGACCTAACCTCAAGGGAAATAGATGGAGAGTGGTAAATAATTTTATAGTCATCCTCATTGGTAAGAAAACAAAGAAATAATTCTGGGGAGCTTAGGAATTCTCCAAACCCAGCTCTGCTGAGGCCTCTTCTCCACAGGTGAAAGGCAGATGCGCTTCAGCCTCTCGGACCTCCCCTATGATGTGAATTCGGGTGGCTATGAGAAGGATGTGGAATTGGTGGCACACCATGGCCTAGAGCCTGGCTTTGGAGGTTCTCTGGCCTTTGTGGGGGCAGAGCATCTGCGTCCCCTCCGCCTTCCACCTACCAACTGCATCTCAGAACTCACGCCCGTCATCAGCTCCGTCTACACCCAGATGCAGCCCCTCCCTGGTCGGCTGGAGCTTCCAGGATCCCGAGAAGCAGGTGAGGGACCCGAGGACCTGGCTGATGGAGGTCCCCTCCTCTACCGGGCCCGAGGCCCCCTTACTGACCCTGGGGCATCCCCAAGCAATGGCTGCCAAGACTCCACAGATACAGAGAGCAACCACGAAGATCGGGTTGGGGGGGTGGTATCCCTCCCTCAGGGTCCCCCACCCCAGCCACCTCCCACCATTGTGGTGGGCCGGCCCAGTCCTGCCTACGCCAAAGAGGACCCCAAGCCACAGGAGGGGTTACTGCGGGGCACCCCAGGCCCCTCCAAGGAGGTGCTTCGGGTGGTGGGTGAGAGCGGTGAGCCCGTGAAGGCCTTCAAGTGTGAGCACTGCCGCATTCTCTTCCTGGACCATGTCATGTTCACGATCCACATGGGCTGCCATGGCTTCAGAGACCCTTTTGAGTGCAACATCTGTGGTTACCACAGCCAGGACCGGTACGAGTTCTCTTCCCATATTGTCCGGGGGGAGCACAAGGTGGGCTAGGACCCACTGCCCTCCCCTCAGTTTACCACTCCACTGCCCCACCTACGGGAGTCTAGCCCTGTCCCCACCGCATCCCAAGGAGTCTTGCTGTGTAGCCCCCACCACTGGCTACCTAACTTTACACTTGACCCCGAATCCTCACCTGTTCTCCTCCCCTACGCTGACTGATTCAAGCATTGTGATGAAACAGGTCTTTTCCTTAATGTTTCTCCTTTTTCTGTTAACCTCTCATCCCAGCATACTCGCTGAGTTATTTATTAATATAATTAGTTGATTTTCCTTTTAACTTATATCAGTCACTTGCCACTCCCCATCCTCCTGCCTACAGTCCCTTTCCACTCTAGGCCTAGTTTTTCTCTTTGTTCTGGCTTTCTCCATAGCCCCGGGGGAGGGGGGAGCTCCTCTTAGTACTAAGAGACCTTGAGCTTCTTGCTTTAAGTCCTCGCCTTTTGCATCACGTGTTTCTTCAGTTTTGATGCTGGTAGCTCCCTCTGGCCCTACCTTAGCTCTGTGGCATTATACCTCCTCTCTGGGACCCTTCAGCCTGGTACTCCATACCTCTTGTGCCCTCTCACATTAGGCAGCTTGCACTTTTCTTGAACAAATGAAGAATTCCCTCATTTGAAAGTAGGAGGGACTGAAGAAATTCTCCCCAGTCACCATGGGACTGAGGGTCCTCTTGATGTCCCCCTAGTAACATGAGTTCCCCAAAGCCCACATTCAGGATCTCCCTCTAGGATGTGATGTATCTCTTCCCTCTTCTCGAAAAACCCCCAACACTGCTCTACTCGCTTCAACCTGCCAGTCTACTCAGTGGTAGCTTTTTTCTCCTTGGAGTGCCCCAATTTTATATTCTCAGGGGCCCGGGCTTAGTCTGCAGTCCTCTGTCTCTAACACGTTGGGAGCCACAGGTGCCTAATTGGGAACCGGGGCATGGGAAGGGGGTGGTTCAAAATTCTTCTTACTCTTCCACCTCTCAGACTTCTTCACTCTAGTGACCTTCCTAGGCTCTCAGGGACTCCTGCAGGCCCCGTCCTATGAGAAACTAGTTTGTTGCTGCCTGATGACAAGGGGCTATCTCAACCCCTCAGTCATACTGCCTTCTTCTCCCCCCTCAGCAGGATTCACCTTCTTAGGGAGAAAAGAGTGTTTCTTTTCTCTCTTCTAATTTTCAGTATAACCAAAAAAGTATCCCAGGATGAGCAAGGGCATGTGCCCCTCACCCCGTTCCACTCTTGTCCCAGCAAGAACGGGATGGGCACAACTGAAATGGGGCTCGTCTGTTACTGCCCCCTTCTACACTCAGCTCCCAGGCGTAGGGCAGGAGGGGGCCCGCTCCTCCTGGCTACTGCAGAGACCCCCCCGGCATCTGGGTAACCTAGTTCGTGAGAAGGGGGCAGGAGGAGATACAGCCCCACTGCAGGTAGAGGTCTCTCTCTGCCAGAGTTCCCTGCCCAAGGCCACAGCCATCCCATTCTCTGCTTCCTTGAGATTCAAACCAAAGGCTGTTTTTCTATATTTAAAGAAAAAAAAGTAAAAACCAAACGTAACACCTCACAAGTTGTAACACTTGGTCCTTCCCTCTCCTTTCCTCTTCCCTCCCATCTTCCTTTCCACGTGTCCTTTCCTTATTGGCTCTTTTACCTCCTGCTTTTCTCACTCCCTATCAGGGATCATTTAAGGGGATGGTAAAGGAACAGACCCTGGGGTTGGGGCTCTTAAGGGCTCTAAGAAGAGTCTACCTTACTCTCTTATGGGAAGGGAGACCCTAAAAAACCACCTCCTTCTCTTCCTCCTTCTTCTCCCCCATTATGTGGTCTCCCCAAGAGAACCAGATTGTCAGGGAGGGGCATTGCGGATTGATTTTTCCTCCTTGACAATGTAGCAATAAACAGATGCTGCCAAAGGCAGAGGATGGGGGAGTTATCTGGGAGGATAGTGGTCTCTAGAGAAGGGGAGAGTTTTCTCAACAGCAACCGGGGGAACTGGCTCCTTGTTTCAGGATGGCAGCAGAGCTGAGATTAATATCTGGGGTTCTCCTCAACTGTTAGATCTACCACCTCTTCTGTGTCTGCTGTGTATTTAGTAATACCTCATAAGGAGACTAGTCCCTTATGGGGTATCAGAGCCTTAGGGTGCCACCATCCCCTCCCCCAGTCAGCTTTGGCACCTGTAACCTCCTGGAACATGAAAGACTATGCTCTGAGGCTGTACCCTGAGCCCATGAGAGCAGAGACTGGAAGGCAAGACCAGGTGCTAAGGAGGGGAGAGAAGGGCACTCTGTCTCTCTCCAGACCATCACTGCACTTTAACCAGGGTCTTAGGTACAAAATCCTACTTCCTAGAGCCGTTCAGCTCTGGAAACTCAAACACACTCATGCTCTGTCTCCCAACTCCTTTTGCATAAAAAAAAAAGTAAAAAAAGAAAAAAATACATTGAAACCCACATGGAGAAAAGAGGTGTTTTCCTTTTATATTGATATTCAAAATTAACACCACACACAAAAAATTTCTAAATAGACACTTTTCCAGATCTTTGTTTTTTCGTGTCAATGTCCAAGCTGCAGGTGGGATTTTGTAACACTTCTGGCAGCTTCTGTCCTTGTGTAAATAATATATATATTATATATATTTTTAATCAGAAGTTATGAAGAACAAAAAGAAAAAAAACAGAAGCAAGTGCAATACCACCTCTCTTCTCTCTCTCTCCCAGGGTTTCATTTGTAGCCTATGCTTGGTGTCTCCTTGGACTTTACCCCTTCATCTTCTTCTCTTCCTCTGATTCCCCCTCCCCCACTTTTTTTTTTTTTTTAAGAGTTTTTCTCCTTTCTCAAGGGGAGTTAAACTAGCTTTTGAGACTTATTGCAAAGCATTTTGTATATGTAATATATTGTAAGTAAATATTTGTGTAATGGAGATATACTACTGTAAGTTTTGTACTGTACTGGCTGAAGGTCTGTTATAAATAAACATGAGTAATTTAACACCCCTGGTTGTTTTTGCAGATTTCCTTTGCCTTGTTTTTCTACTGGGAGGAAGGGGGGCATCCTTGCAGCATGTTGTACTAACTACTAAACATTTTGAAGGCGAACAAGTCTAAGATTGAGAGGAAACCAAACAAGAATACTCAAGCTGTTGCTCCAGAAGAACAGAAGAATTTTCAACCTAGAATGGGAAATGGAAGAGATTTTCCTACCGAGAGTGCCTGCAGGGTAGGAGAAAAAGCCCCAATATGCCCATCCATCCAAAGCAGAAATTTATCAAACATTTGTTGTTCAGTACCTAGTCTATGCAAAACACATTATATGCCCAGGGAGACAAGTTACATGAATGGTGATAGTAACAGGCTCTACCACTTCTTGAGCACTCATAAATACCAAGCACTGTGCCAAATGCTTAATTCTAGAAAAAACCTACGAAGAAATGATCACCATAACTAAATAAAAGCCCAAGAGAATAAATAAATTGTCTCAGATTCATCAGCTAATAAGTGACAGAACCTGGATATGAACCAGAGGTGTATGACTCCAAAGTTTGTGCCCATCCCTTTATGCCAGGGAATACAGCCAGTGAAAAGGCTATAAAAATCCCAAGAAAAGCCAAGATAGGCACATTAACTTGGTTCTGTCTTAAATACATATTAACTATTTTCTGTCCCCTTCACTCCGAACTTTTTTCTGTTCTCCTATCTATCTCACTGCCATTCCATATGGTAATGTCTGTCTTCCTGTGTCCATGAAACTATACTGAAGTGAAAATTGGAGACACTTTCATCTAGAGTCTATCATTTTCCATTCCCCATTGAAACTAGCAAATTCAAAATAGAAAGAGACTATGAATATAATTGTTTTGAAGCCAAATCAAAAGTTAGAAAATAAATTTTAACCCCAATAAAGTGGGTTAGTGGTTAGGAGAAACCATGATGGGTTGTTGAGAGAAAGTGAATCTGGTGTATTCAGACTCCAGAATGATTCCTGAATGAAAGAAAAGTTGGTCTCCATCTATACCATCTTGGGTCTGAATGCTGGGAGGTCCCCTTAACACCCTAGTGTCTTCAATTTTGTAGGCAATTGGGTGGTTGGCTGCCCGTGGATAGCCACTCCTGCTCAAGGCTAAGGATTTTCTGAAGGCTCTTCAGAGGTAAACGGAGCATATACATAAGAAAGTGTGTTTCAGTCAGGGGTCAGGCTCATTAATGGGGTGAAATCCCTTTAGTGGGGCTTGATCAGCATTTATTAAAATAAAATAATAAAATTGAATATACCAGTGTACCTTATGTCATAAGGGTAAGTATTGTTTCATGAAGTTTGTTTCAGTTGTGCGTGTGTGTATGTGCAAGTATTGAGTACCATGTAAAATATATTTCTACTATGAGTCTGAGTCAAAATTATTTTAAAATTGTTTAATGTTTTTATTGATTTCAGAGAGAGGAAAGGAGAGAGAGATAGAAACATCAATGATGAGAGAGTCACTGATCAGCTGCCTCCTGCATGCCCCCCACTGGGGATCGAGCCCCCAACCTGGGTATGTGCCCTGACTGGAATCGAACCATGACCTCCTAGTTCATAGGTCTACACTCAACCACTGATCCACCCTGGCCGGACTGAGCCAAAGTTATTTAAGTCACTGGTCCAGGCTGTACCTCCATGCATTCGTTTGTTGGGTGATAAGCCATATAGTGGAGCCAGAACACCTCTTACTAGCCGTGTGTGACTTTGGGCAAACTCAGTTTTAACCTCTCTACAGTACTCATTTTTTCTATCTGTAAAGTGAGGATAATAATAGTACCTACTTTATAGAGTTGTTGAGGATTGAATGAGTTAACATTTATAAAGCACTTAGGATCCAAGGATATAAAGGCAAATGAGAAACAGACGCGGCACCAATGCACTTGTCCCTGGCCTCTCATTGTGGGTTTTTCTCCACACTGGAAAAAGGAATTAACAAAATGTTTTGCTCCCCCAGGTCCTCCGTTTCTCAGTCCTACACCAAGTAGCAGGCTTGTCAGACAAATGAGCCGAGAGCGTCCCCCGGTGGCGTGGAGCCGTCCGGGTTTAAGTGCTTGGGGCCAAGGGCCTGTCAGCTTTGCACTACAACTCCCACCATGCATCTCTTCCCCTCTGGCTTCTAATTGGCAGCGCGATTTGTGATGTTGCTCCAGGCAACTTCCCCGCCCTGCGTCGCAAAACCCGAGAGATTATAACAACCATAATTACGTCCGGGGTAGGGCGTCGCGGTGCCTGCTGGGATACTTATAATTCATTTTCTTCCGCCATCAGAAAAAAATAGTCCCGTGGTCACTTTGTACCACCGACAAATAAACTCAAGAAACGCCTTTCTACCCTAGATTTCAGCGAAAAGGCTGAATAATAAAGAAAAATTAAGTAAAGTGGGTTGCCGTTCTTGGCGTTCATCAATTAAGGATTCTTCCGGTGTGAGCGTAGGGATCTCGCGCTATATAAGGCAGCCGGCCAGACGCCGGATCCTCTCTCGGGTCCTCGTTTCCAAGATGGTGAGTGGCGGCGCGTGGTGAGCGTGGGTCTGGGTGGAGGTTGAGAGGAGCGGGTCCCAGACTGTGGAGGATTTGAGAGTCCAGCCCGTAGTGGAGCAGTGGACGGAGAGTATGTTTTTTTCCGGGCTTGGAGAGGTTGGCGGAGAGACTGGAGATGTGACTGGCGCCTTCTTTGGGGCTGCGGGAGCGGAATGTAGCCGGAAGGGGCTAAGGCCGGGTAAATTGCACCTCTTTCCTAGCATGATCTTTATTCTTATGCAGACCAAGAAAAGAAGGAACAACGGTCGTGCCAAAAAAGGCCGTGGCCATGTGCAGCCTATTCGTTGCACCAACTGCGCTCGATGCGTGCCCAAGGACAAGGCCATTAAGAAGTTCGTCATTCGAAACATAGTAGAAGCCGCAGCCGTTAGGGACATTTCCGAAGCGAGTGTCTTTGACGGTGAGTAAGCCCCCAGTGTGACCTGTGCAAGTGTCCTAATACCTACCCCCCCCACCCCATCCCAGCAGGCTCTGTTCTTTGGAGCATCCCACGCAATTTCTGTGGGATTGTTGCTGGTAGAAGAGAACGGTGTCTTTCTTGTGTTTGCCAATTTTGAGCCTTGTTTGATTAGAGCAGAACTTTTTGTGCTAATGCACAGTTTTTGTTACGGTTTGTGATTGCCCCCCACCGCCTTTTTTTTAAGGGGATGAAATTACAAAAGCGCCCAGGGCTTACATTGTAGCAACATTTGGGGAGCAATACTTACACAGTATATGTAACATTTCCTTTGAATTGTCTTTATTCGAGTACCTGTTGTGGAAATGGAAGAATATTTCAAGTAGGAGGCTGTCTAGTTTGGTCAACAAGGTGTTTTTGGAGCACCATGATATGTTTTGATCGATTCTTTTTCTTAAGGCAAACTGGCTTTTTTAAGCAACAAGAAAGTGCCCAAGAGTAAGCATTAGGGCTGGTGCAACTGATGAAGGAACTGGGTGTTTGGTTTATCTAGGATGTGGATTTGGACCCCATGATGACAGTGTGAATTAGTAGGGGGAGTATTCATCTGTGAAATAGCATATGTGTTTAGGCATCAGAAACTGAACGTTTGCTTTGGGAGTGAAATTTTGTAGGTATGCCTGACATTTAAGTGCGTTTACGTTTAATTTATTTGTTTTCCATCTTAGCCTATGTGCTTCCCAAGCTGTATGTGAAACTACATTACTGTGTGAGCTGTGCCATTCACAGCAAGGTAGTCAGGAATCGTTCTCGTGAAGCCCGTAAGGACCGAACACCCCCACCCCGCTTTAGACCTGCGGTAAGTATCTTAAAAAGGAGATGTGGAGGCCAGGAGGTGATGTGGAAAAGATAGGTGACTACCCAAGGATTACCAAATTAAAGTCTCTGCCTGTGGTGAGGTCAGCTAAGTCTGGTAAGATAGGTGCAACCCACACCTGAAACATTTGCTCAGGGTCACTTAGAAGAGGGTTGTTAGAACTTGTTTTGGAATGAGTAGTGTGGTCCCTTTTCACATCTGCCAGTTTTCCATGTGTTTATGGCCCAAATACATTGTTAGTGATGGGAGGGTAGTGGTCAGGTTCTTTAATGGGGGAGTCTAGTCCGTGGTTTTTAACTTTTGCATTCCTTCGTCTTTTAGGGTGCTGCCCCACGACCTCCACCAAAGCCCATGTAAGGAGCTAAGTCCTTAAGGACTGAAGAAAAGTTTTCTGGAAAAAAATAAATGGAAATTGTACTTTATTTAGCATATTGAGTGTGTTTGTTTCCAGATAGAGTGGGTGTTATGTATGTCATGGGGACTATAATTGCTTTTACCACATAGTCGTTCATGAGGGAGAAATCTTCTCCCTGTACCCTAACTCAGGTTTCTTTTCTATTTGTATCCTTAGCCTCCCCAGTTTGCATAGCTGTGTGGGGAAAAGGAGATTAAAGCATCTGTGAATGTTAGGTTAACTTAACCTGGCTAGTCGGTGTTTTTAAAATGGAGGAACTAAGAGGGTAAGGAAAAGGTGTTGCGTGAGGAGCAAGTCAGGAAGAGACTTGGACTGAGGTGTGCATGCCCCTGGTGGAGACACAGAGACTTTGATAGAAAGTGCATGACTTGGATAGCTTTGAAGGGGGTTCTTTTTTTTTTTTTTTTGAAAAACATGTCTTTATTGATTTCAGGGAGAGAGGGGGAGAGAGAGACGGAAACATCAATGGAGTCACTGATTGGCTGTCTCCTGTGTGCCCTCTACTGGGGACTGAGCTAGTAACCTTGAGCATGTGCCCCAATTGGGAATCGAACCACAATCTCCTGGATCACAGGTCGATACTTAACCGCTGAGCCATGCCTGCCAGGCTTAAGGGCTGGCGTTGCTCAGCAGTTGAGCATTGACCTATGGTCTAAGAGATGGAGGTTTGATTCCTGGTCAGGGTACATGCCCTAGTTGCAGGCCCAATCCCCAGCAGGGGCCATGCAAGAGGTAGCCAATCAATGACTCTCATTGATGTTTCCCTCCCTCTCTCTAAAATTAATAGACATACTTTAAAAAAACTGATTTATGCATTCTAAATGCAAAAAACAATCCTGTCTCTAGGAACTCTACATTCAGGAACCTAACACTGCTTAGAATTGGTTTAGCAGTTTTACTTGAAGATAATCCCAAACTAAATTTTTTTTTTTTTTGGAGTGCCAGAAATAACTTTCACAGAAGGGCTTTTTCTATGTGCTTCAGGCTCTAAAGTAGCCCTGTCCCACCTGCCAACCTCGTACCAATTGCAAATAACTCAAAGTATGTCTTTCTTCTTATTTTCCTTTTCTAATCCTTACCCAAGGATATTTTTTCCATTGCTTTTCAAAGAGAATGGAAGGGAAGGGAGAGAGAAACATCGATGTGAAAGAGACACATCAATTGGTTGCCTCTCACATGTGCCCCAACCAGGCCAGGGATTGAACCTTCAACCAAGGTCCATACCCTTGGCCACCACTGAACCCGGGACCCTTCAATTCACAGGCCAACACTAACCACTGAGCCAAACTGGCTAAGGCAAAGTATCTCTTACTTGATGGGTAACCAGGATACCTAATTTCTAAAAGAGTTTGCTGCTGTCTGCTAATCCATAATCTACCCTAAAAGTAAAACCTCATGCCATGCTGTAGGGAGTGTCTCACAAGTCTGCTTGAGGTTCTCCAGATATTTAGACAACAAAATTAGTTTGCTCTGCTTAGCTATTTTGGATTCAAGTTCAAGTAGTTGATCACAAGGTGGTACAACATAGGCCTCTGAGCCTCCTACCCTCCCACCCAGCGTTAAATGGACTATTTGGAGGTGGGAAATTCATGCAGTTTCAGCACCTCCAGAATATTTCTGATGTATTTTCCAGACTCAGTGTGAAGAGTATTCAAGCCAGGTAGAGGCCCCTGGGCTTTTTCGTCCGTTGCTCCAATGTACACCTGTGAGGTTATTGGATTTCAAGTCAATTCTCTGGTAGCCGGAATTCATTGGCATCCTGGGCTACTCTTTCCCTCAACTCCAAATCCTGGATTCTTGTTTTTTTTTGCCTACTTTTACATAATTTAGCATATACAAGGAATTATTCACTGCCTATCACTAGGTTAATGTCGTGCTTCTTTAGGTACACATTTAGCTTATTTTTTCATTCAGTAGCTAATAGGTGTAGAGGTATGTCCACTTCATATGTGTTAACAAGCTAACAGGCTTGTCAAAGGAAATCGCCAGTAGATGAAAGAACAGGCTAAAATCTAGATTTATTCATCTGTTCAACAAATACTGCCCATTTGTTTCTGAGTTGAAGTCCCCATTAAACAAAGACCTGTGGTTAACAACCTAAGAGCTGACTCCTAGACATAAATTGCACCTCTGATATTTAGAGCTGTGTGGGTGAGTTACCTAACCTCTGTCTTCAATTTTGTCATCTTTAAGATGGTCATTACTATCTTGTACTTTGCTGAGGTTTAAGTGGTAAGAAGCAATTCAAGAAATATTTACACCCTAGCTGGTTTGGCTTGGTGGTTAGAGCGTTGGCCTGCAGACCGAAGGGTCCCAGGTTTGATTCTGGCCAAGGGCATGTACCTCATTTGCAGGCTCAGTCCCTGCCCCGGTCCGGGGCATGTGTGGGAGGCAACCAACAGATGTGTCTCTCACCTCAATGTTTCTCTCTCCCCCTCTCTCTCTAAAAGAAAAAATATTTACTAAGCCCTGGCCCATGTAACTCAGTTGGTTGAAGCTTCATCCCATGCACCAAATGGTGGCAGTTTCAATTCCTGGTCAGAGCATATTCCTAGGTTGCGGGCTCTATCTCCAGACAGGAGGCAACCGACCAATGTATCTCTCACATGGATGTTTTTCTCTCCGTCCCCCTCTAAAGTCAATTAAAATTTTTTATTTTTTAAAAATATATATTGATTTCAGAGAGGAAAGGAGAAGGAGAGAGAGAGATAGAAACATCAATGATGAGAGAGTCACTGATTGGCTACCTCCTGCACACCCCCACCTGGGGATCGAGGCCGCAACCTGGGCATGTGCCCTGACCGGGAATCAAACCCCGATCGCCTGGGTCCCACGCCTGGCTCAGAACTAGTAATACAGAAAACAGATTGGGGCAAAAGTAGGTTTACAGTTGTGAGTTCCCAAAACACAGTGTATTCATGTATTATTATTATTGTATTATTTTCCATACGAACAACTATAAATCTTACACCACCACCCTGCTGTACTATTTAATATATAATATTCTCAAAGAAATCTGGAACATCACCCAGGATCAAACACAATATTTCTGCAGCAAAATATAATGTTAAGTGGAAGAAATAAAAACTATAATGACCTAACATGAGTTTCATGTAAGGTTTTGCTGCCATATGAGTCCCTAAAATCTTGATTTTTATTTTTTAAAGTTGTTTTGATCTTTCAATTTCAGGCAAGGGATTGCATACCTGTGATACACAAAGTTAGAGAAGACAGGTGTAGCTCACCTGGGCCTTGTAGGCCCTGCTAAAGACGAGACTTCACTCAGTGTGTAATGGTAAACAATGAGATACCACACCCACTGGGGTGGCTATAATAAAGTAACAAGTGCTGATGATGTGGTGAATTTGGAACCCTTATAGACAGCTGGTAGGAATATAAATGTACAGCCACCTTGGAAAACAATCTAGCAGTTCCTCAGAAAGTTAAACAGTTACCACGTAACCTAGTCATTCCACTCCTAGGTATATACCCAAGAGTACTGAAAACATCCACGTAAAGACTTGTACACAAATGTTCATAGTGACCTCATTTATACCAGCCGAAAAGTAGAAACACCCCAGATGTCCACCAACTGGTGAATGGTTAAATGTGGAATATACAACAATATTATTTGGACATAAAAAGAAATGGAGTTTTGCTACATGCTATGACATTGATGGACCTTGAAAATACACTAAGTAAAGAAGCCAGTCATTAAAGGCCACATATTGAATTACTCCATTTATATGAAATGTCCAGAATAGGCAAATCCATAGAGACAGAAAGTAGATTAGTAGTTGCCGAGGAATGGGGAGGGGAGGTTTAGGGGGAAGAGGAGTGACCGTTAAGTGGTATAGGGATTCTTTTAGGGGTAATAGAAATATTGTAAAATTGTGAGAGTTGTACAGCTGTGAACATACTAAAAACCACTGAATTGTACATTTAAAGTAGGTGAATTGTGTGGTATGTAAATTATAGCTCAATACAGTTGTTAAAAAATAAGATGGGAATCCATTGGAGAGCTTTGAGCAGAGCAGTCACATGATCTGACTTATGTCTAATCAGTTTATTATAAATATTAGCTATTCTTATTCTTTTTCTTACATCACAGCTACCTCTGAAATGCTAGATTAATATTTCCCAGACTTCAGGCATTTGTATACCTCTTTTGGTATTTTTGCCATATCTATACTGTCATTTTCTTTAAATTGACTTCTTAACACATATTTATTATAAAAAAGGAAATCATATCAGTAATCTAAATGGAAAACTAATAAGTCTTGCCATAAATAGAAGGTAATTTAAAAACCTACACAGCTTTTAAATTTTAAAAAAGTTTATTATTTTATCAACAAATGATTTTTTAATATAAAATTCAAATTTTATTTCTAAACCAATATCTACATTTAAGCACCTATATAAACCAAACTGATTTTTTTTTTTAATCCTCACCGGAGGATATTTTTTCCATTGATTTTTAGAGAGAGTAGAAGGGAGGGAGGAGGGGGGAGAGAGAGAAACCGATGTAAGAGAGACACATTGATTGGTTGCCTCCTGCACCCACCCTGACCAGTGCCAGGGATCGCAGCTGCAACTGAGGTACATACTCTTGACCAGGATTTGAACCCGCAACCCTTTGGCACTCAGGCCAACATTCTAACAGCTGAACCACACAGGCCAGGGCAAAACCAAAATGATCTTTATTGTGAAAAATGGTACCATCCAAAATCATCTCCCAGATGTCCCTGGGAAATGTCTCCTGAGCTGTAAGCTCATGAGGTCAGGGACAGTGTCTAGAGGATCAATTATATTGCCTGATGTCCGGCAAGTGCTCAGCATTAGTGGATAAATATGCTCAGCCTATGGAAATGTCCGGGATTAATGAAGTAATTTTCTTTGTGAGAACAGGAATCACTTCTATCATTTGAATAAAATGCAGAGTCCTAAGCCACACCTCCAAAAAGCAGGACTCAAAATGTTTGGGGTGGGGTCTGGGATTCTAAATTA